GCGTGTGCGTGTGCGTGTGCGTGTGCGTGTGCGCGTGCGTGTGCGTGTGCGTGTGCGTGTGCGTGTGCGTGTGCGTGTGCGTGTGTGTGTGTGTGTGCGTGTGTGTGTGTGTTTGTGTGTGTGTTGGTAAGTTGCACGTTGGCCGGCTGTGTTGCGTTAGGCGGGTCAGCGGCTCTCGGGCTCCTGGACGAGGGTTTTCTTATCGCCTTCAGCGTTTTAGGGGGGCCCAGAGGTTGAAGGGGTCCTAAGAAGAGGTTTGGTGCCAAGTAGAACCCTTTAAAGGACCACACCTATGGGCCCGCACAAAATGACTATACATGTCGCCTCTTGTAGCGGTTCAGGACTCGATGTTTCAAACCAGGTAGGCAAATGTGTTGATTGTGGAGGTTAGGGATTCGAACTCTCAATGGTACAAGTCTTGGGCTCAAAAACGGATGTTGTAGGAATGTTTGGGGATTCTCGGGGCAACCATCGCCCATGTCCTCTTCCTACTTCTCTTCCCCCTCTGGTCCCGCATCCATCCTCAGAGCCTGTTTGGGCTCATAGATTTGCTGTGAGGGCAGCGAACCGATTTATTGGGGCTTTCGCCCCCTTCATGTCCAAGGATGTTGGTTGGTTGCATCAACATCCTAACGCTGTTTGAGTTCGTCGGCAGCGCCAGATTGTCGACGAGCCATTCCATGATGAACGCCAACGTCGAAGTCGGCATGTGGCTTGTGGCGTGGCCAGACGTCGTCCGCGTGCCCATCGGCAGAGACGATGGCTCAGGCGGCACCAAGCGAGTCAGAATTCAACCAAACAAGTTGGCACTGACGGCGACGCTGCGCACGATCTTGTCAGATTACTCAGCGACGGAGTACGTAGAGCCAACGGCCGACAAGGTCGAAGTCAAAGGTGTGATGCTCGTCAAAGCTAAATTCATATGGGATGCTATGAGAAAGTTGAACAGGTTCGAAGAATAACAGAGGAAGTTCTGGGCGATCCTATCGGAAGGCGAATGCAATGTTGGACACCTGCGCTACTTCGGAGTAAAGAACTTCATCACCTTTGGGGATGACGAACCCGTCTTTATCGACGAGACCTTCGAACAGGTGAAGACCAAGGGCTTCTTCAAGCTTCTACCGGGTGCGAAAGTCGAACGCATGATCGATCTCCTTGAAACGCAGCATGGTGGACGTGTACCAGATTGGGTTTCACGCGCAGGCACCTCCACAGACGGCCTGCCAACCCTCGCAGTGCATTTACCGAGGAGTTGGGCGAATATGATACATCACCAAGTTCGTTGTCACCAAGAGTCGTCGTTCAGCCTGTGCGACCTGAACCTGTTAGGGCCGACGCAGATAAGATGGGCGAATGTGTGGCCTAAATCGCGACCTGGAGATCGAGCACAACCGCTGACTATTTTGAAAGATTCATTTCCGCCTCAACGATTCGCCAAGCCCTCTGAAGAGTTCTTGGATGTGTACAAGACCTTGAATGCCGGTGCAGCCTACGAGATCGCGAACAATTTCAAGGTGCCCTTGGACCTCTGGTATGACGGTATCAATGTTTTGGGCCAGAGGAATATGAGCCACGCAATCCAAGCCCACATGCATTTGGCTTTGCTGATTCACCATGGTGACAAGATGCTGTGCCACAAGGCAGCAAGAGAAGGAAACGGGGCGAGGTCCAAGTACGACGCGATTGAGATCGTGAACATGTTCAACGCGTCCCAGTTTCTGAAGAACGATGCTCATCTGAAGAGGGCTTGCTTTTGGGCAATTCGTTCAGTGCTCCCGCCTGAGCTTGCTCACGAGTACAGCGTTTCGCTCGAGATGGAGTCTGTCACGGGGCGGTTTCCACATAAGTCGACTCTGTCGCGGATGAGGGGAAGAGTCGACGTGGCCTGGATGCTCACAGCACGGGATCTATTCCAGAACATGCTTGACGTGGACGGTATCGTCGCGTTCCCGATCCCAGACTCAAGCCCCCAAGGAGGCAGGGACTACGAGAACACAGTTCTGACCATCATCAGCCGCCAGAACCTCGTTGCATTGCACGGGCTTTCAAGCGACCTGGATCGCCGCAACAACACCATGACTGTAGAGCAGCGCGCCGCCGACTGGACCTCCGAAGCTCTCATCATGAAGAAGATCGAGGAGAAGATCATGAGGCACGTCGCCCCAGCAGTGCAGCTGGGCTTTGGGCGGACGAATCTTTCGGCGAAGTTCCACGCGATCATGCACCAGTTGTTCTTGCTCAGCCCCTCCGTCGACCACTTCTGCAAACTTGTCGGCTCTGTCCCCGTCTGGCTGTCGGATCAGGGCACGGAAAGCGGCTTGGCGCGCATCGAGCCCATCGCCGTGCAGGACGTGCTGGAGTTCACGAGGGAGTGCGAGGTGAACGACGACGAGGCGCCGCCGACCTTGATCCGAACTAGCTTGAAGCCCGAAACCAGTGTTCCAGGAAGTTCCAAGGGTCTCGGTCCTGGGTCCTGGGTCAGGGGTCGGGGAATGGGCTTCGGGCAATAGTTGGGGCCGACAGTCGGCGGAAGGTTGACTTCGCTCAGCCTGCAGCAGCGCCGAGCAGGGATTTTATCAATTTGACCTGGAGCCTGGAGTTCGACGGGACGTTGCACCTGCGCCACAACGCGGGCAATCACCTGGAGGACGTGATGCCAGACTACAAAGACGCTGTCTGGAGGCTCAGCCAGGTGTCGAAGCTTCTGGACGATCCTGAATCGAATGAACGGTTGGTGGCGACATGCTTCTCATCTTCGCCAGCACTGAAAACATTATTCGAGCCCATCAAGAAATTCAAAGGACATTGTCATGTCGAACGATGGGGCACAGTTGCCAACACTCTGCTGAATATTACTGGTAACGTCGAGGCAGCCTTACGGTATGCGTGGGGTGCTTCCAAGTACACTCATGGCAAACAAAAATAAAATAAAAAAAAAGGTAGAGAGGAACTGTTTAACGTCAAGTTGGGAGTTCTGAATGATACAATCAACACGCCGTACTGGTGGGCCTACTGGGGTATGCTTGAGAAGATCGCACAGGCGCTGTTCGATGTTACCAGGTGGTGTGAATCGTGCTCCTGTCATTTCGACTTGCTCGAAAGCCTTCGAGGCCAAGAGTGTGCGTCCAACCTTACAGAGGAACAGATCAAGACCATGAAAGAACATGCTTCAAAATGCCCACTGAGAGGCATGCGATGCCACGACGTGTGCGCGGGTATGCTGCTCGACTACGTAAAGGACCGTCTGCGCTACCACATCGCAGACTTCGCCAGCAACATCCCATCGGACATTTCGAGGGGAGACGCGAAGCGCATCCTCGATCAGATGGAGAGCGGCAGGACCCATATTGTCGCATATTACACGATCAAACTGGCACACTGCGATTCGTCTGCATACGGCCCCATTGGAATGGCATGCGGCAACCATCAGAGGGCACGAGAATGTTGGCTCAAAGTTCTAGGCGATTCTGACTGTCATCTTGTTGCTGATCATCTCGCGAGTCACCGGACACTCAGAGCGGAAGTGGACGAGTGGGCAGACGTGAGATTCGATCCAGAAAGCGATCCAACAGACGACAAGCCCGGGCTTCGTCTTTGCTTGGCGACTCTGCGTTTTGCGAACAGCGCAGAGAGAGTGGTTGAGGGTACCCATGCTCTGATACATCATGAAGTTTCGCGGGCCCGCAATCACGGACATGCTTTGGTCAGCTTGGCTAACAGGATGTCCAACCTCAGCCCGTACATGACCGCAAGCATGGACACGTTCTGGCGCTTTACTCAAATGGTTGCTAAGGTATCTTCTGGCAAGGCCGCTGTGAAGCTATTGGGACTCGAGCGCCATCCAGAGGCAAAGCAGCTGGAAACGGTGCATTCCTCAGACAGGCTGTTCTGGGATGTGATCTACCACGCAGACCCCTACACCAAGTACAGGATGCCATTGCCTAAGATCAAGGTTAAGCAAGTCGAGGCTGTTGAGCTGAATGGCAAGGTCCCTCCGATCGATACGGCTGATGCCGCGTGCAAGCGGGCCGCTTTCGTGAGCCACGTGATCGAGAAGCTGTCTGCAGATGGCACAATGTATTGCATGCCCATGCAGCTCACCGCGCTCATGCCCTTGAGGAAACTTCTCCAAGTACGACATGCAGTACCTCAGACATCAGACGATTGTGAGCACGGTTGGGGTCTCTCTGAAGTTTGCCAGGATGATCTCATTCCTGATGATGCCTTCGCTGAGCAGGACTGTGAGTTTGCAGAGTACTTCTTCTTCAAGGTGGTAATGGCGGACACTACTCGCATTCCAAGGCCGAAGGTACCAGGCTAACCAAAGCCCACTGGCGTCAAAACGTTGGTCTTACACAAGCTATTACGGTATGACGAAGAGGCTCGAGAATGCTTGGTGAGCGCAAATGCTCTTGGAAATGCTATCGACGACTGTGCTACACCATACACCATACACCCAGCCATGCTGCCACCAGAGATCTTATCGAAGGTACGTAAGTGGAGCCCTACCAGCACTGGCATAACAGCAGGTCTCCGCCAGCCT